GATTTCGGTTTGGAGATTGTAACACCCTTACTGGCATGATTGACGTCGATAATCTCTCCATCCCGCTCTCACATAGGAGGTTTTCTACTGGCCTCCCCATCCTTAATCTTACCCTGCTTTATGGCCGACTTGACCATTTCTCCAGCCATAACCAAGTCTGAAAAGCTCTCTGATGTGATCGCAACCAGGTGTCCAAAGTATGGGGTCTTCAGGGTCTGTACGAAAAGTTTTCGGGTTTTCTTTTCATCCAACGGGGGATGAACTTGCACAATCAAGTCCCTCCACTTTTATGCGTATTGCCTGAAATTCTCGTTATGCTTCTTTTCCATGCTTTATAGCATAACTCGATCTGGCCTTATGTCATTGATGTGCTTGTATTGTTCCAGAAATGACTTGGCCAGGTCATTCTAGGTTCTGATATTTGACCGGCTTAGATGGTTGTACCACCGGATGACTGAGCCCGACAAACTCTCCTGAAAGCAGTGAATCAGGAGTTGATCGTTTCCTCCATATCCTGTCATCTTTCGACAGAACATGGCGATGTGAGCGGATGGGCAGCTGTTCCCGTCAAACTTCTCGAATTCAGGGGACTTGAATTTCAGAGGAAGAACTAAGTCTGGGACTAGACTGAGTTTTGCGGTATCGATTTCATGGTAGTCGTGGTCTCCTTTGACTACCTTCATTTGGTCCTCCAATTGTTTGATTTTTTCCTCCATCTTCTTCGCTTTGTCATCTTCGTCTAAATTCGGTACATGGTAATAACCCGGATTTTTCTTAGGGTTAAATACAGAGGACGATGGCTTCACTTTTGCAGCAGATGAGTCCCCTCAAAGTTCTGGTAAGAATTCAGGTGAGATAACCACTTGCGAGGTAGGTTGTATAGTTACCCCTTCCGGTGAACCTGCCTCAGGCGCACTGGTCTGTTGTAGGCCAACTAACTTGGCAACGATCTGATCAACCAAGGACTCTTGGTTCTTTGTGATTGTTTCCAGAGTATTTCGACTGTTCTAGTTTATCTTGTCTTCTAGCTCTTTTTGTAGTTTCAACATATTCTCCTCGATTTGTGTAATTATGGCTTCCATCTTCTTCTTCTTCAAACGAGTGTTATGCGGGTGGGGTGTGTCCAACGCTTGAGGCGGTGTATCCAGTATTTACTCCTTTTGATGAGACATGTTTATGTTAGTTAATGCGAATGTAAAGAAAAAAACAAAATGCAAAATGTCTAAATGCATAATGCATGATGCATGAAATGTCCAAGGCATTGATCCAAAAAAAATGTGCCTGTTATTCTGAATAACCCTTATTGGTGACAAAAGCGTTACGTCTGAAGAGACAGAAAACTTTTTTGATGGTACAGATCCCGCACATCTTCTGACAAGTTGATTCGTCTTTTTCACTGGTTGAATATCCTGTCGAACCATTCCGGCTCCTTTGGCTAAACTTGTGCAGGTGATGGGCTGCTTGCCCCAAAAGGGGTCTCGAAGGACTGCATCTCCGGCTTTCACTCTATATCGAGATTGATCCAAACGAAAGCACCATTGGAGCCCTCTATCCGAAGTTTATCGACTTGTTTATGGAATTCGTCAATAATGGTCTCTAGCTTAGTTAGGGTTTCACCACTTGTTATCGTAGTTTTCAAAAGGATCGTCTGGGTCAGCAACATTTTCCTCGTCTTGCCCCTGCAACCTTTGCCTCTGAGTATTCTTTGACCACGGCTGGACTTCTGAGCTTTTTATCTCTTTGTATTACCCTTTATCCATTAATGCAGATTATTCATGTTTAACAAACACATTTTTGGTGGATCAACACATCGTTTTAAATGATGCAAACGATGAACACAAAATAAAAGAGAACAAAAAATAAAAGGGTTAGTGAGGTAAATCAAAACAATAAAAAAATGAAAAATCCTACATCACATGATATCTACCACGCATGCTTTAATTCCTACCCGGACATGATCTCTATCCTGCATGCTAATTTCAAACAAATCCTAACCGCATATTTGTCTAGTTCGCATACTTTGAACAGAAAATAAAGTCGGAAATAAAGTAGCCTAGGGTTTGGAATGAGGTTTTGGGGTGGGCTCTAATTCTCTGCACTCTCTTGGTTTAGGTTCTAAAAAGGTACTCGAGTTCTCCTTGCCAGTGTCCCCTTGGGCTTGCCAGACCCTTAGTCTTAAGCCCATTACAAGCTTGCGTGGACTAAGTTAAACTCGAGAGGACACATTCCCTTATGTATGTGCGGTGAATAAATTCACACGAAGACGTAAGGTATATGAATCCCGAAGGCTACTTGCTAGGCATATGCGGTGAATAAATTCACACGAATGCGTCGCTTTCACCCCCACTTAAAACGGGTTCGGAGCTCGGGTTTAGAGCTTAGAGATGACAATTTTGAAAAAATCTGAAATCATTAAAAAAACGTCAGTACAACTATTTATTTAAAAAATAATCAAAGATAAATAATTGGAATCGAATAAATAAATTAAAATTTACCATTTTCGCATAAAAAGACAACCGAAAATTAATTTCGGACGGACTCACTTATCTGTCCCCAGCGGAGTCACCAAGCTGTCAGAACCGTCTTTTGGTTGGGCCCAGAATTGGGCTTCGACTTAGGAAAAATAATTCGGAGTCGCCACCGACCACTTTAAAACAAATTTAGTTGGGTCGGACACCATATTACCTGATCTGCGTTGTACCAGAAACGTGTTAGGTTCGGGAGTCGGTTATGGTCAAGGAAGGATTAGCACCCTTAAGCCGCCCTTTCGGTACCAATTAATTTTCTGGTTGTCTTTAATTGCGAAAATTAATAAATTAAATTGAAAATTTAAAAAAACCGATTCCAGTTACTTACTTTCGATTGGTTGAACTTCTTCTAAAAAGGAAGATTGGAAATATTAGAGAAAAAATAATAAAAAAACTATATAAAAATAACAAACAAAAATAAAGAAGGAAAAAATGGAAAAAAAATAAATAAGAAGGAATAGAAAATGATAAATAAAAAATAAAAGAAATAAAAGAAATAAAAGAAATTAAAAGAAATATATATATATATAAGGAAAATAGTGAAGGAATTACGAAAAAGAATTGAAATTTAAAAATAACATAAAAAAAGAGGAAAAATGATTAAATAAAACTTAGAGGATCGAATCGAAATAAATCAGAATTAACGGGTTAAATGGATATTATAAAAAGGATCTGCAAAATAAAAATTAAAAAGTGAGGGGCCAATTCATAAAAATATAAGAATATGAATCAGGATCAAATTGATTAGATTGAAAATTATAAGGCTAAATTACAACTGGTGATCAGATTGAAATGCGATTCAAACCATGAGGGACTGCGGAGAGGATTAAAGAATCTTCTAATTGCAAAAAGGCCCCTGGTATATAAATACCTAAAAATCTGTTATTCTCCTTCATTCCCATCATTCACTCCAGCTCTTATCACTCCCCAAACGAGAGAACCCTCTCGACCAAGCCTCCCCGGCCGAACCCAGGCCACCGATCGCCGTAACCAGCGTAAATCTACGCCCAAAGTCTCGGGCTTTTACCTTTTTTAAAGGAAAACGCTTCGTTTTCCGGCGCCCTCCCTCCGATGACGCTCCTCGTCCGTTTTGGTGAGAAAAGGCTTCGACTTTTTATGCTTTATGGTGTTGCTTTGTTGCGTTGTGGTTGTATTTCGTTTTGGGTTTATGTTTGGTTATGGCCGTTCTCCTGGTTGATGTTCATTGTTTGGGTTTCTTTGTGTGATGGTTGTTTGGTTTTTTTTTTTGTTGCTCGATGGTTCTCCGTTTCTGGTGATCGGTTGTTTTGTGGTTTTGTTAGTTCGTTGGCCGTTGATGGTTTCTAGTATCGATTTGGGTCCCTCCTTCGTGTTGATGGGTGGTGGTATTTATACCCACCACCATTGCTCGTCCGTTCCGATTAGCACGGTAATTGACTCGTCGTTGGTCGAGGATGTCGGGATGGGTCAGTCCCGATTCCCTCGGCCGAAAATCCCGACCGGCGTGATTCTGGTCGTTAGTGACTCTTCATGGTTTGACCATGCGGCGCTTGTGACTGATATCTCCTTAGCATGAAACCCTAACGGGTTATGGCTGGGTTAGGCTCAGTCTTCGTTTTTTGACCCCGTTTAGACCCTAACAACAAAAAATAATAATAAATTAAATTAAATTAATAAAATGAAATGAAATGAATGAAATAATAATAATAATATAGATTATATAATATAGATGTTTCAAAAAAAAATATTTTTTAAACCATATATTATATTTAAAAACATTTTAAAACCATATATTATATAGTTTTTAAAAATGATTTTAAAAATATTAATAAGTTTTCCAAAATGTTTTGTTAAAACTATATATTATATAAATTTTCCAAAAATATTTTTTAAAAATTATATATTATATTTTCAAAATGATTTCAAAACTATATACTTTATAATTTTCAAAATGTTTTAAAACTTATATATTGTACATAAGTTTTCCAAAACGTTTTAAAAATCTATATAATATATATTTCAAAAAATATACTTTTTAAAAACATTTTCAAAAATTATACTATATTACTATAATAAAAATAAATAAATAAAAAACTCAAATTCAGACAAAAATGAGTGTCTACAAATAACAATTAATGCCCATTTTGATAATTTTAAAATTTAATAATAAAAAAATACTTTAATATAATTTAATGATAAAACGTATTTTAATATAGTTTAATAAAACTTGATACTTCATCTATAAATTGATTAAAAAAATCAAAGCAACACGTGGCACGTAATATTCAAGAAGGAGAAGGGGTACGGGGGGCGATTTCCCTTTAGTCAAACAAAGCGGCACTTGCAGTATCGCACGGTATCGAGCGTGATTAGAGTGATAATCGCACGAGTAGTTAATTTTAAAAATTGTAATATACATTTTATTCAAAAAGAAATTGTACTATAAATTTTGAATCCCATTCACCATTCCCAAGTATTCTTCCTCATCATCATTTCTCATCTTAATTTTATATTAGGTTATCAACATTTTCCTTTTATTGTTTATCTAGTTTTCAAATCCAAACCCACAACTCAACACTCAACTACTAATTAAATTTTCAAACTTGTAAGAAGAATTCCTTCATTCGTTTTCGTTGTTGAATTTTTTCTCATCATGGTAAAAGCCTCAACTGATATACTGTAATTTCAGTGTCAGGTGTTTTGGAAGCAAAGAGGACCCACCATGGCCAGAAGAAAGTCGAACATCGCTAAAAGAAGAATTAAGGTGCGCACTTGGATTCTTTTTATATATTTTAATGTCAAAGTCAGTTCCTTACTTCTTCTCTTTCTGTATGATGTTTACTAATTTCCCCAGAAAGCGTTGAAGAAAGTTAGGACGTTAAAAGCTTGGACAGCACAGACGAGAGAGGAGGCGACCCGCCTGATAAACCGGGCAGGGAATTGTTACCAGGAAATCGCGCAAATTAGGGGAGCGATTCAATCACAAATCTTGGCAGCTCGGAATTTGGATGCTGAAGTCAATCATCTCATTCTCGCTTGTCTTGCTAAAGACGACGGCGACTGATCACATTTCCTGCTCTTTTGTCGTTTTTTTACTGTTTCTTTGGTCGTTCCCGCCCAAGCTTATTCAAAGCATGCTGGGATTAGGTGCAGCTGTTTAAAAGGGTTTGCCAGGAGCAAATTCTGTTGACGTTGTTTTGTTCTTTTGGTGTGCTGTCCTGGCGTGAGTAGTCGATCTGTGTTGCTGATGCAGATGCTCTTTTGTTTGGCTTGTTAGTCCCATAAGTTTGGAGTTGTTGCTACTCTGTAGAGGAGGATAGGGTCATTCTGTTCTATTAAGTATTGGGTGTTTAATCGTCTCTGTGGGCTAATTTTTGTGGTTGTAATGCCGATGTTCATTCTGGTTGTTGTCGTGTGACTTGGTGTTGGATATGTCCTTCATTAAGAGTACTATTTTCCTCTATTCAGGATTAGGGAGGTTTTTAGAGGCTCTTAACATAGGTTTTTAATCAATAAATCTATTTTTGTAGTAGATGTTTTTGATAAAATTTCAAGAGTTTTCTTCCTCCTCCACCTCCATGGCCTTGAGCTTCCTTCTCTAGGTAAGATTCTTTTAAACTCCATTGGTTTTTGTCTTTGGATATTGAACTTTGTTTCACTTTCCGGGTCTTAAGTTTACTTGGGCCAACCTTTGAGGGATTCTTGTTCGTTAAATGAAAACTTCACCAATTATAGGTTTTAATATCTCTATTAGCTTTTATTTGCCGACTGGAAATCATTTGCGTAAATTGCATTTGATCAGACGGTTTTGTC